GTTTAGAAAATTGATCGTATTATTTGTTTCAATTTCATAAGTAAATTGTAAACGTTGATAATAATTATTAAATGTAGTCAGGATATTATCAATCTCAGAATAAAAGGAAATATGTTTTCACGCTCTCTGTTGTAATGTCAAAAGTAAGTTTTATTATATAATATTTACTATTATATATATCAAAAATTTCTTTAATATATTAATAAATTCAATATAATTATTTAATTCAACTCATCTGTTGTAGTATAATTTTTCATAAATTATTCTAATTGAAAAAATACGCTCGTCCCACAAAACACCTGTGTAAAATATTGGTATATAAGAAAATGTAATTTCTTCTGATCAATAAGGAAATGAGTTTTCGGAGCGTCTTAGCGTTTATTCAATCAATGAAAAGATGCATGATCGATGCAAATGATGTGATATCTATGTAAAAAAAGGTCCCGGTTTTTATTAATAATGTCTCAAAGAATGAACTCTCGCGAAATCTTAGAAGTCGTAAAGACGATCGGAAGGCGATGCGAAAGGAACGATTCATCAAGATCTGCGATTCATAAAAGACTTCTAATCCCGAATCGCGACGGTGCTCTCCTGTGGGTGAGGGCAGGGTTGGGCAACTTCGAGTGGCCATTGTAATGTTAAGCGTCCATCCCCTTTTCCCATCTCGCTCCCTTCTCACGACCGAGTCTGTTATCTCGACGGCGCTTTCACGGCGGAAACCTCAACCGCGTTCTCCTCATTTTCCACGAATGGGAGCGACTGAAACAATGACGAAGAAACGTAAAGATCGCGCTATTGTTATTGCGGTTATTAGCTAATGAATAATTCGCGCAAAACCATTACCGTCTATTAAGGTCGAAGGTTATTGCCGCGGCCGCTACTTAGTAGCATCCTCTTGCAACATAGTAATTAGTAATAATCCTATTGGAAAATAATCGGGTATGCAATTGCAAAATGCGATCGTTACTACCCGAATGGCACATCATACAAGTTACTGAATCAGATTTTCGTAAAAATTTTACCATCGGAACAGAAGTTTCATTTCACGCAACTTTTTCATGGTATTTAAGATAAACGATAATAATAAATAAATATATATATATATAACATATTAATTTAGTAAATATTAATTTTAGAAAATTGTCAAACAAGGGAAAATAAAAATAATATACACAAGATAATATGAAAACATCAATTGACATAAACTTTTTCAGAATTGAATTCTTTCGATAAATGTGAAATATCTTTCATTGAAATGAAACTTTGGGCAAACTATAATATTATTATATCGACGATAATCACTTGTCCTCGAGAACGATCGCTACAGCCGAACGGGTAGCGAAGGTCAACGAAGAGGAGACAAACTCTATGCGACGGACTGTTCATGCGAAAGCCAGCGGGCTTTTTAATCGATGTCACCCCGTTCGTCTGTCCGGTCCAGATTAATTTCATCATGAATGTTAGCTCAACACTCGAGATCCAACCGCGAGCAAACACCCTCCAACGCGCTCTATTAACAGTTTAAAGCGTATTACAGTCGGGCCGCGCTTCATACGCACGATCAACACCAACGAGCCATGATTCGCTCGCTTGAATGATGGCTTTACCCGGACAAAGAAAGTTTATATAGAGGCATTTTTCCCTCTTGCGTGTTGATCCGTTTGATTGTCTAAAGCTAAAAAATTAACATTAATATTATTTTTAAATGTGACATTGATAAAAATATTTTGATAAATAAAGATCGTTTTAACATTTACATTGACAGAAAATTGTTCCACATTGAAGCGATTAATTTGAATTTTACAAAGAGGAATAATATTTGAAAGAGATTTTTACTGAACGATAAAATTACGAAATGCAGCGATGAAAAATTTGAATGACATTTCACACAAATGCGAAATTAATATATATTGCCAAAAATTCGATGAAAACAACAGCGTTTGCTTAATCGGAGCGTTTTCAAAAAAAAAAAAAAAAAAAAAAACGTGTTGCTAACTTTCGGAGTCAATAGAAGTAGCCAATTAGGCGTGTCTGAAGGGTTGGGAACTTCGCGTACGTTTCACGTTAGTAGAACAAACCAGAATCAAGGCAGACAGAGGGTAGATAGAGAGAGAAGACGAGAGAAGCAGAGTAAACGGAGATCGAGGGTATCGAAAGACAAGGAAAAAACACGAAGCGAAATCTCCTACTTCCTTCTTCCTTTGCCTTTTTCGGTGGAAATAAAACTGTTGTATCTACTAATAAAGGCGGAGTCTTACTTTTAAAAGCGCGCACTTCGTCCCTCTCTCTCTCTTTTCTTCCATCCATCTATCTCTCTTTCTCTCTTTCTTCTTCTTCGTTCTGCGTTAAAATAGGAGGGATTAGTTCCTATGGTAGCGCGGGGGCTTAAGCATTGATGAGGTTTTTAAATGGGTTCTCCTTTGATGACGGTAAGAGAACGCGAAAGGCGAATAAGGGTAGCTACGACAACGAGGGCAGAGCGAGAGAAAGAGGGAGGAGATGGAGCGGACGATATTTACCGGAAGATTAAAAAATCGAGGGAAAAATTAAGTGTTACGGGGGCACGCCCCTGTCCTGGACTTAATTCTACGTAATCCTCTGCTAAGATCGCCGAACCTTTCTCCACCCTCTCTGTCTCTTTCTCTCTCTCTCTTACCGTCCGCTTCATGAAAGGTCGATGGAGATTTTCATTTTCCTCCATGTACGGATACGTTTTCTATCGTTCACTAATCGTCCAGGATTATGCTTGTTCAAAAAAAAATTTCTCGAGTTTAGTCCGGAAGGGTCAAGGTGCCGATTATGAGATACCATTTACATTTTCTTAATTATTTCCAAAATATATGCAATTAGGAAAGTATCTATATACTGTTTTTAATCGTCGTTTCATGTAGTTTTAAAAATCCTACCTTAATAAGTTATATCTCGTTCGAGTTTTAATATACACAGGTTTGATTAAAGTAAGTCAGTTTTTGTATCGAAACCAAAAGGTCTCCTAATATGAGATACCACCTTTTATTAGATAAACTTAATTTCATTTTTATTAACACCAAAAATAAAAGTAAATAGTTTTATTATTACCTGTCTTAATTTGAAACCTTTTGTATTATATCTTCAGTATTATAGGTATTATCCTTGCAGTGAGTTGAATGACTGGAGGTTGAGGGAAATCGCGAAGATAGTCTCTAGCTTGATGTCTGCGCTGATAAGTGAATAATATACTTGATGAACGCGAAAACCGAAGGAAAATTTTGCGCTACTAGTATAGAACGGCCGTGCAAAAAGAACTTTTTCCCAGCCGGTCGCGCTCAAATAATAATGCTGCTTAATTACATGAGGCCAAGTCGATATGTTGGCGGTACAAATATTTAGAGGGCGAGCACGCGGTGGTCGTGAAACGATGTTATTAGTAAATTAACTGACATCAAAGAAAATGCGAGCACTGGTCACTTACTCTGCTAATGGAAAGGTTGCATCCTCCTACGTGCGAGAGATATACATATATATATATATATATGTTTCATGTCTAGGTATTTATTACAGATACACATACATATACACACTTTCATATATACATATATATTTTTTATAGCTATAATATATATTAATGTATTCAATATAATAAGGAAGAAAAACATTTTGTGTAAAAAGATTAAATACAATAATTTGTTAAACATATTAGATATAAGATAAAGAATTTATTAAATTTTTTTCTTATTTTACTCTTAATGTGCTTCAAATACACATCAGTTTTTCTGAAACTAAATTTGCAAGAATACTTAAAACCGCAATCTATTCTGAAAATCGCGCCGTAGCTATATCGTCATTGACGAATGAACGTTTTAATGATCGTCACTAAGTCGTATTCCAGAGAGATCGTCGACATTTAAGGGGATGATAACGCGCACGTCTCCCGACAGGAAGCTGAAAGATCCGCGCGTTTCCTTTTTTTCTCACCCCTTCGCTCCTCCGTCTCATCTCTAGGACCGGCTCCATCGCTGTGTCCGTTGCAGAGGGTCTTAAGGGTGATTTTTTCTCGTTCCTCGGCCTCGCCGGACTAAATTTCGCGCATTAAGCCCTCGGTGTAATCCCGCCCTTAATATTCAAAAACGTGATCGCCCTGCCAAGCGTGCCGTGGAACTAGCTCGGCTAGCTCGGGGAGGGAGAGCTTTTCATATGCTAATTGGCATTCGTCATTTTCTTATGGCACCGACTTAAGTGTGCTTAAGGCTGCTAACTCCTTCCTCGGCGTTAGAAAAGCCGGAGCTAGGCCTCGCCCGGAGTACCCGTAATTGGACCTCTTGCAAGATTCGATCACGTGAAATTCGTCACTTCTAGAACGCCAGTTTCGCGGAAATGATTCAATCGAGTTAGAAGATGGAATTTTATATCGACTCGAGTCTTTCCATCTTCAGCCTATGCATGGTATTATTTGTGTTTTATTTTTAAATGTAGATCTACGTAACACATAAATGCAGGACCTATATAACTCTTTATTTCAATTGTTTGAATACTTTTCAAATTTCATTTTTTTAGAATCAAAGTATCTAATATATAAATATTATGTGCATTCGATCGAAATTTATTACAGAATTTTATATCAAAAATCTACTTCTATTTTTGAAAAAAAGATATATATATATAGAATTTTTATTATATAATACTGTACTATATTAATTATTATAAAAAATATATATATATAAATTTTATTTTAAACTTAACTAAAGAGAGAGAGATCTAATGAAAATACGTTATTATTAAACTGTTCGTTAGATCATGTCGATAATAATAGTATATATATATTTTGAAATAGCATACACATTTTTTACGAAACCATATTATCTGATTAAAGAGATTGATCTGTCACAAACTTATCACCGGGCAAGAGCAAGTGCAAAGATAAATGCAATTGCACTCGTTTCCAATCCGAATACCAACGGTACTGCGATAAAGAGTTCGAAAGCTTATGGCTATCCTTTTTTTTTATTCAACGCGAACAGCGCGAATTATAAGTCGAATCGGCACGCACCTCCGCGCGACACATTGGTGTCGGTAATGCTATCCCTATATAACCTGTATATAGGTATGTGTTACATACTGTAACTTTATCGGAAGATATCTCAGCGGCATATCTGTTAAGAAGATAACGTCAGTGTTCGTTGTCGAGTAGTGCCGCGCCTGTGCGTTGTATCGCTAACATAATTCTAGCTCACAGCTTTGGAACGAGAATTAAAAGGCGGAAAGAAAATCTCTGTCATAGAATGGAATTTTACGCGCAACGTTGTCACCATGAACGTACTTCGTGAATGAAACATTAACACCGATGAATGTGCGATTCTCATCGTCAAAGAGTACTCCAGAGCAAATCTGAATAAACGTAAGTAAATGTCTTTTCATAGTGTGATATTTTTTATCTCTCGTCTAGTCCTATTTATTCTTCAAATAATTATTACAAATATGTAGTTTTGTAATTGTTTTACGGTTCGTTAAAAGCTTGATGTATTGGAGCTTCTACAATTCCATTAAGTGACTCATGATGACACATAAGTCGATATCAGCCACGTGTTATTCATGCACTTTTTCCGACTTCGTTTACCATAGATATATAATTCAAACCGTAGTGCAAAATTTCATAAGAGTGTAATAGAGAACATATTATCTTTAGAAGACTTAACTGAATGAAAAACTGCGTTTGAACGTGGGTGTGTCTTAAGGATTTAATTAATATTTTACCTTAATTAAAAGGTGTGCAATTTCGGGAAAATATGACGGTCCGTTTTCCCGAAGTGATAAGAAGTGGATCGGAAGTGGAGGGCGGTTTATCAGGACCGGCCAATCCAATACCTAGCCAGTCAATTGATTGTGGTTGCGGTCAGCTGCAATGTCCAAAGTTGGCGAAATTTGCAACGCGAAAACTCTTCGTGGGATTGTTGTGCTGGATCGGCGTGGTGCAAGCCGCGGGATATGCTTACTTTCATGTGACAGGATCCACGATAGCTAGAAGATTTCAAATTGATCCTCATTTAATGAGTGCGTATTCACATAAAGGGATTTATAATTTAAATAAGTTCTAAAAAAAAAAAAAAACATAACAAAACCTATTTCTTCTCATCTTTATTATGATTGCGAAATTATAAGAATATTGATTTAAAAAGTATAAAATAATTATTGAATTTTATAGAATATTTTTATAGAAACCATTGCACTTTAATTGCATAATTATTTTTATCACAAATTACAATATAAACTTTGCACTAGCAACATTTTTTCTAAAATTGTTTTGAATTTGAATATATTTCTAAATTTGCTTCATATACGAATAAACTTTTGATACTGCAAAAATCAAATATTAAATTTTCAAATATTTGAAAATTCTCTTTTTCAGATTGGATTCTTGTTGTAGCAGAATTGACACCTTTCGTTCTTGGATTAATAGTAGCGTTCTGGGGTGATAGAATACACAGAGCTTCGTGGATAGGAGCTTTAACCCTTTTGCAAAGCGTCTCGTACTTTATTTTGATAATACCTCATTTAACACATCGCGTTCGCGTGATTGAGGAAACGCAAAATGTCACTCATATGTCATTATATGCCGGTCAGTGCGTTCAAAATTCTAAAACAGAATATTTTTAATTATAATTATATTTGTTCATCTTGTTAAATTACTTTTTATTAATGTTAATAACTTACATAAATTATTTTAGCATTCAATTTATAAGTAAATAAAAAAATTTTTTGTTTACGTCGAAAGTATATATATCTTGAATTTCTTTTATAGACGACAGTCCAGAATTATGCACTTCTGCATTGTCCAGGGTCATCGTAGAGGAGGACGAACCTTGTTACTTTACTATGGTCATCCTGATTTTAGTATCAATCATAACTGGTGCAGCAAATGTAGCATATTTTGCCCTAGGAATTTCTTATTTGGACGATAATACAAAAATGAAACATGTGACCGCTTTCATCGGTATAATTGTCGCTGTAAAGCTTATCGGAGTAGTTCTCGGATACTTTTTGGCCTGGGGATGTCTTCGGTGAATAATTATTATTGTGTAACGTGTATCTGAAAATTTTTTAAAATTAAAAATAACTGTAAATTAATTGTATTATGGACAGAAAAAAATGTATATTTATTTTTTCACTTATCTATGCATTTAGGATAGACGCAGAAAGTTTCGGTATTATAAATTCATATCAGGATCAAATCGGAGCTTGGTGGCTTGGATTTCCGATTTTATCTATATTATTGGTGATTCCTGGTTTGCTGCTCTCGTGGTTCCCCCGAAGATTGCCCTCAGTGGTAATTAATTAACATTACATAAAACCGTATAATGCAAAATTGGGAGTTGATATTAAATTTATATTATACATTATAATACGATCATATATTTATTACATATTTTTATAAAAAGAATTTTCCAGCTAATTTAATAATTATATTTATTCTATTATAGGTTGTCGAACAAGCTGCAGCCTCACTTTTCAATCGGGCTGCAATAAATAATCGAGCACCTCATCGAAGGAACATTCAGAAAGTGGGTAGCTCCGATTTTTGGCCGTCACTCTGCAGATTGATTACTAATAGGATTTTGATGTGCAACATCTTGACGACGATATTTTATGCAATAGCACTACTAAATTTTATGATGCACGAGGATATTTTCTTGGAATCCAGATTTCACATACCAAGACCGACAGGAATGCTTCTTGGATTTAGCGATCCTTTACTATCTAGACTGGTCACCAGTAAGATTAATCGTTGCCTTTAATATATGCATAAAAACAAAACATGGAATTTCTCAACATGACGAGTTATAGCAATATCAGTTTGAATAAGACGAAACTTTCTGCAATAAAAAAATAATTAATAATTGATTTGATACAGAGAGATAAAATTAAAGTCTTTTCCACAAGATTGAATATTTAAGATATAACATATATGATTATATACAAATCTAGGATAAATCCTCCTATGATTTGTTGCAAATTATGTGAGACAAATGTTTTATTTTAGATATCATGAGACCCATTCTGATTGGCCTGATCATAATCATCAGTGGTTTAGTGTTAGCCAAAGCGAAGCCACGAGCAAAGTTTATTGTTAGTTACAGTCTCGTCATTGTGCTTATAACAGTGGCAATTATCGTCTCGCTGATTTTCGTTACCTGCGACAGGCCGCCTATCGTTAGTTTGGACAAAGGCTCGTAAGTGCAGCTTAGAATTAACATCCATTATTTTAATGTTTAACGCTCAACGTCTGTTAAAAATTGAAGAGATAATAATAATAAGAAAGTAACATATTTTATATCACTGATAGATTTCTTGTTATATTAATATAATAAATAAATAGACACAAATCTAAGTTTATCGACAATTATTTTTATAGCAATGGACTATTGAAATACTGCAACAAGAATTGTCATTGCTCAAAAGATTCCGATTTTCGGCCAGTTTGCGACAGCTCGGGAAAATTTACGTATTACAGTCCTTGTTATGCCGGCTGCTCCGCAAACATTTATATCGACAACGTCAAGATTTACAGTAGCTGTAACTGTGTGGAAGAAATGACAGGATGGGGGAATGATCAAGCGAAAGATGGTCCGTGCGAATCGATTAAATGTCAGGCTGGCTGGATGCTTTTTCAAGTACTTACTACGTTTATATTTATTGAAAATTAATATTTAGCATTTTATATTACGGAAGTTCTTTCTTTCTCCCAACAATAAAAGATATCTATATATCAATCGCGAAAAATGAATATTTAAAAATTAAAAAAAATTTTTTTATTTTTAATTTTTACTTCTTTTTATTTATTTATTTTTATTTTTACTTCTTTTTATTCATTTATTTTTCCTTTCAGTTTGGATCTTTGTTGGCGTATGCGCTAGTCGCTTCCACGTTTGTAGGAGATTTATTGATCAATATAAGATCCGTCTACAAGCAAGACAAAGCCATCAGCATAGGTTTCTGGATGACGTGGATCGCGATTTTTGTTTACGCCCCGGGCAAGTGCCTCTACGAATTCGTCTCACGTGAAGCGTGTCGATATTGGGGCAATCAAAGAGCGATCTGCCATTTACACGACAGTGAAAGATTCGGCGACTATCTGTGCTACTTGACGATCCTATTTTTGTCCCTGTGTTTTTTGTTCAAGATTTTTCTTTGGTTTCTCTGTAAGGATTTACAGCTGTACGAGGAAGTCGAAATTAAAGATGAGAACTCAGAAAATGTTGTGCTGCAAGAACTAATCGAACAAGCAGGCACGACCGAACAACAGGAAACGATACAAGAAACAAGAAATGGTGGTAAATATTTTTTTTATAGAAATGAAATAATTTTGTAAAAATGTTATAATGATTTTTCTTATAAAAACAAATAAAACAAAATTATAAATTAAAATAAATAATTTGCAGATGACGCGACGAGACGAGTGGAAGTGATTATCGAGCCGGAATCAAGAATAGCATCGGAAACAATAAGACCGGAAGATCCATCGAAGGAGGAGGAAAAAACGCAAAGTAGCCAACCTTTAAAATATGGCCCATTGGGCCCAGGCGATCGTCGATCGACGGGCTCGTATCTGCCGACGAATGAGAATTCGCGATCGACGATCCAAAATCTCGACTCCGAGGACGAGCTGGACAGTTCGAGCGACGAGAGCAAGAAACGATCGAGTCCGCGGATCGCTTACGCGCCTCTGGAACTCGACTCCGACGTCGAGAGCGACCTCAGCAGCATCGGGCCGAGGTCGAGGAAGCGTGTCCCGAGTAAGGATTACGACGACAACGATCACTCTTCGTTCAAGAGTTCGTCCATAAAGCGCTGGTTCCCAAATCCCGATCATTACGATGATCCGCTACGGGCCAAGAGTTCCAGATTCAGAAAGCCGAACGGTTATCAGGACGGCTCCTCGAAAACAGGCAGCTTCGAGTTCTCGAAGAAAGGTCAAGAGAGCGACGTGCCCAAACGGGGCGACTTCAACGAAGTTGGCATACCGATAGTGGATCCATTTCCGGAAGGAAAGGGCAACTCGGGCGACACGACGCACTCGAAGGACGTCAAGTCGTTGATCGATCGATACGAGCAGAACGCGAGTCAAGAAACTCTGAACGAAGATCGGTTATCGGTGAAGTCGGTGGAGGACGCGAGAAGTCGACCGGAGAACAGGATGGGCATACCGCTGGTAGCAATGGTTCCTGGTAGGTCGTCTTCTTCTCGAGGACAATCCTCTTCGGGCTTCAGCAGCTTGGCGGATGTGCAGGACAAGAGTTCTGACCCGCGTTCCGAGAAACGCGCGACGCCCAGTCCGAAAACTTCTGTCGAGGAGAGCAAACCGACCTTTCAGACCGACCTGTGAAATTATGATGACTTTTGTCACGCGAGACATGCAGATAACGTGTGACACACATATATGTGACAGCGGCGCGTGATTTCGCGAATATTTATGGACGAATAAATAATCTATTAATAGAATCTATCGAGTATTATCACAGTAAATTTATATGTACGAATGAAATAAGAGGTTCTAACGATTCCGAATGACAGAAGCGTACGTATAATATATTCACAGAAAAAACAGTATCCTTGAAAGAATGCAAACATGCCTTGATTCAAGTATATTTTATCCTTATAATAGTGCCAAATATAAATAATTTTGGATAAAAATAATTTATCCTTAAAGCAAAGTGCAAAATATTCTTGGTTAAAGCTGAAATTTACTTATAAATATTGCCAAGACTTTCAAGTATATATAATAATTCTTAGTTCAAATGTGACTAAGTTTGTTTTTACCATATGCGATTTTTAAAACCAGAATATATCTTAAGGATAAAATATACTTCACACAAACTTATTTATTATTAAGGCAAATGAAAATTTTTGATTATAAAGAGCATTCTATGCTTAAATCAATCAAATAGCGTTCAAGAATAAAAATATACTTGAATCAAGGATTCCTTTTTTTCTGTGTGTTATATCTGCCATTTATCGTGTTTAAAATATCCGAATTAATTTTGATATTTGTAAGCCAAATGTACGTCACGGCGTAAACTATGTGTTCTTTTCTTAATTACTGAGTATTAATTATAGGTCATTGTAATTATCATATGTATGTAGAATTGATATCCTGCGATTGACGAATATATAGTCACTTTCATAAGTAAATTTAAATGTTTTCAGTTAAGAATAGAAACATCAGTCAGTTAATAAAATTTTGTCTTTGTGTTTTATGGTATATTTCCACTCTTTGTATATTCTTTCATATTGTTTGTAAAATAAAATATGCATGTACATAACGCTGTCTATTATAGAATGTGATTGTCCCTTTTTGAATATTTATTACACTATTAAAACTTATCATATCTCTCAATTTTACGAATTATTTCGTTTATCTGTTAATAATAACGTGTTTCTTATTTTGTTGTAACATTTTACGCGTAGATTAAAATTCCTTATGAAATTATGCTCCGAGAAATAAATATTTCAAACGGAGGTAACACACATATACGCACATACACACGTGACTTAAAATCGGATAGATACATATTTTTATCGTGAGATAAAAGAGATAAATTACAGTGTTTCTTACTAATTTACTAATTCACAATATAGTCGTTATATGTACAATTATTTCACTTTATAGATAATTTATACTAACATGAATCATCATTTTCATTGACAGCATAAAACTTTGCGCATACTATTAATTTTACATCGACTACTGTTTAATCGATGTCGAACAGCATCAATGATTTTTTTATCGATTAAATAGTTTAGTCGAGGACTCGCGCATACAAAGTCGACAGATAGTTAATCAACAATCGCACTCTAAGAATTATAAATTATATATGAATTTTTTACATAAATATATAATATTTATGTATAATAAATATATAATATATGTATATTATGCATATATTATAATTAAATTATTCTTAATACTTATTACATATATTATATATATAATATAATATATATAAGATACATTAATAATATATTTGTATATAAATACATAATGTATATATTAAATTTATAGTATTATTAATAATATTTTAATATTCTACATATAATATTATATATATTTTAATATTATTTAATTTAATTATTATATAAATAATATAATTTATATAAATTATTAAATTTAAATTTACAGAATCAATGATTGATTTTTGTTGATATAAGGTCGATTGATAGTTGATCGACACTTTCGTCAAAAAACCATCGAGCTTTTCAATCGTATCGATAAGTATGCGCGCTCTCATATTAACTCTAAACTTTTTAATAATCGATTTCAAAATCAACAAACAGCTGATAGTATGCGTTCAGCTTAACTAATGTAAATCGAATATACTGATTAGAATTTAAAAAATGTCCATTTTTATTCAAATATATAAGTCCGAATTAAGATAAAGATCCATACCTTGCCGACAACAAATTGATTCATACCCGTTATACAATAAAAGTTTACAATAAAATCAATAATCTGAATTTGTTAAAAAGATCGGCGATCGCTTTTCTCTTGCGAACACCATGGATGATCGGTTTCTATCTAAGGTTGCTATTTAAATATCTAAGGAGGTGCTTAAGGTACTTGTAGAGTCTTTATTTGTCGGTTCTCGCTTGCTTCGCGTTCTTCGTTCGATCCTGCTTGGAGATCTTCGATCGAAGAATTTTCCTTTCCTCCACGTGACGCTCGAAAGAGGTAAAACTTGATTATCAGTAACCATTTTTCAAAGTGTCTCACCCGGCTCTTCGGCTATATTCTCCAATTCGATTTCCTCGTCAAAGATCTTCACGCCTTTGACGAAATACCAAACACCTACGTCGAATAACGTGCCGATTGTTACGAAACCTGAAAATGACAGAGATTATGACGATGAACAAGTAAAATCATTATATTTCTAATTATAATTAGCATTCTATCAGATACTCACTAGCTGCGGTAAAGTTCAGCAAATACCTCAACGCCTCGCCGTTATACAGCCAACAGTTGCCCGTTCCTGAACACGTTTTACCCCACACGAGACAGGTCTTGTCTGTTGAAAGATAAAATATTAATCAATCTGTAAATAGAAAACTAGAGATAGGCCAACACAGAAGAAGAAAATGACTTTAATTAACAACAAACATTCAGTAGTTCTACTGAAAAAATATAAAATGTAGCTACTGCAAAAATATAAATATAAATAAACAGCACATGCTTTATCTTCGTGTTTGCCTTCGATAACGCGAGACGTGTCTGCGATTATTATCATGACTGTGTATTATAAATGAAGATTTTTTATCACTGACCCAATATAAATCCAAACAAAATGGGAGACGGTATGAAGGCGAAGAGACTCATTATCATTAATCCAAAGCCCATAGCAACCGTCTTGTCCTTCTCGTCGACGCATCTTACGGAAACTAGAAAATTCGACGCTCTTCCTGTTGCTCCGCTGAATTTCAAAAAACACACCACCGCCAGAAAGATGTAGAATTTCTGCATACAGTCGACCGGACACGAACCCGGAACTGCCGTTCCCAGAGTTTCTATAGTGGGTTCGGTCGTATTCAATGGAAGCTCAGTGGAAAATGGGAAGGTGACGTTGTCAAACGTTAGCGCTAGCGAGCGCGTCATTTTTGCTTTCACGCAGCTGCAGTCCGTATAAACTTTGCTGCCATTATTGTGAACCTAAACAAAACATATCCATATAAATTTAATATGCTTCTAAGAAATTTATCGATATCATATGTAAATGTATAGGAGATTCTCGCCTTTAAAGAATTCGCTAATAATTTTAACAAAATTGAAAAAATCATATAAAAATTGCAAGAGGCTTCTCCCAATTTCTTCCCCCAGGCGAGATCATTCTGTGCAACAAAATTACATCTAAAATAATATCAAACCTTGACGCCGCGACAACCGGCGTGACACGCGGATATAAACGTCTGACCGTGTTCGGAGCACACTGGATTATAGGTGACGTAATCGCAGTAGCACTGATCGTTGCAGGGTAGCTGCGTCTTCAGGACTCCGTTCGGCTGAATGGCGATCTGATTGTCGTTCGCGGAGCAACCGAGGAAGGCATACGAGATCATCCCCATTACCGATATAATGCCGATCATGACGTTCCACGCCGCCAGCCACCTAGCCTTCGGCTTGTACTTGGAGATGACCAGTCCGGACAGCAGGATCCCAAATGCGCTGAACACCAGGCCGACCGTGCCGGTGATTAATGACGAGACAGACGCCGATTGCTTGTACTGGGTCTCGATGTACTTGGGCATGAAAATCCAGTAAGGCATGTAGCCCATAAAGTAGAAGACCGTCGCGAGATTGTTGCACATCAACGTCGTGTTCGTCAGCAGCCGTTTAAATGTTCTCAGCATGTCCGGGATCGACGCCGGTAATTCCGATTCTTGTTCATCCTGTTGCTTGATACTGCTGGCCGATTTGTTACGTTGTAGAGCGAGAACTTTGCGAGCAGCGGCTCGCGGCAGAGTCTTCGGAAAAAGGGCTACTATACTCGCGAAAACAAAGAGGAGGATCGCTAAAATGATCCATCCTAGCCACCAGGCGCCTAGCCACCTTGAATATCAATTGAGATCATGTTAATTAATTTTTTTATAAAACATCGAATAATTTATCGGGGTAAATTCTCTACCTCGGATCTTGCATCGTGATGGTGGGGGTTAATGTCGGACTGATGTAGAACTTGAGAGAGAACGAGGCCAGTCCATAACCGATGGCAGGTCCCAGCATTCTCAGAAAGTACGAGAAACTGATCAGCGCCGGCGTCTTCGATTTCTGTATGTTATCGTCCATATAGGACACTCCGAGAGTATAATAAAGGGAGCCACCAACTCCGGAGACCAGCTGGGCTATGAAAAGTAGCACCTGCGGCGCAAAGTTCCCATCTTCGGCCTCGCATTCCATCCCGCGATTCTCCTTTCCCAGACAGAGAAATTTCCGCTGTTTGTCGGAAATCACGCTCGAGTTTAGCGTACTTTGCTTCGTCCCGTATTCTTTGGTCAGCGACAGGGCGTCTTCGCCAGGACCGTACAGAAAGTGCGGCAGCATCGTTAGACAACAGAAAAGTACAACCTAATGAAATAAATAGTGATTTTAACACTTAATGCTTGAACATCATTTGCGTCTAAGCCGCAGAATTTTTCATTTATTATTTATTAATCTTTACATTTATTTTTCTCATTTTAATTATCGTGTTTTTTCCTCATTTATTATAGACTTGAAATATCGCAGTGCGACGTATAGAGATCCGTGCGCTCCGCGCAAGGGCCTTTTTACTATTCGAAGAATGAAGCGCTTAGCTAAGCATACGACGACGAGAGTACGATGGCAAGAGGCATGAATGAACGTAGCTACGATTCTAACGCTTCCTAATTTAATTAAGAAGCGACCAATCGGTGAGTTATGACGTCTATACCCGGCTCCGTTCCTCGGGGCGTGTGTCGACAGCTGACTTTTATTTCTTGCCGACATGCGATCGGGATGCATGACGCGCGCGAATGTTACGCGGTACATCACAAATTAATCGCAAACTTGTCGAAGAGTGTGGTTAATAAAAACTTACGGTGTAAATACCGAAGGCGATCCATCGAGGCCTGTGACCCCTTCCTGCGTAATACGAGAGAACGACGGATACGAAAAGCTGCGAGATGTCGTTACCTACTGTGATGAGACCTGTATTGAGAAGAGAAGCGCGCGTGTTTTCATCAGATCATATATATACATATGCATGATAAATTTCTAGATCATCTTGCTCGCGCGGTGGTCAAAAATTGCATAACCATTCTCGTTTGACAGTATCCACGTGACATCACCGTCGTCACGTGTACGATCAAATCAATTCTGTACTACTTTTCGAGAATTTTTAATTTAATCTCAGTGCATTGTGCTTTAATCGGACAATGTTTTGAGTCAAATGTGATAAGCTGTATATATCGTACAATTTGAAATATTGTAGTAAATTTATTGTTTAGAAAAAATTAGGATAAATAATGCCATTTTTTTTTAAATCTTGTACTATTTCAATTTTTTATTTATTATGCTGATAAAATGTTTAATTTCGCAATTTTTCTAGCACAACTAAATTTATAATTATAACATAATATAATATTTAAGAATAATATTTGTAAAAAATATTTGTAAATTTATAATAAAATAAAGAACTTTGATACATTAAATTTAAGTAGAAAACGAGCTTTTTGTTCCTTGTTTTTCTTCGGTCTCTTTGAGAATTTACCAAAGACGTAAAACGGAGATGTGGATAAAAATATAAATTTATCGATCGATTTTTTGAAAATCATCCAGAAGGACGAAAATGTTTAAATTAATTAAAATAGATTTTCAAAAACAAAGTTGCGCCTAGTTTCTGTGCCTGACTCTTATATTAGCCCTTTTCTGTCTAAACTTGTTAATAAATTTATCAATTTTTTGAGTGTGTCCATAGATTAAAATTGAAGAATAATGCACCGTGGAATACGCACCTGTCGTCTTGGAGGGTATCTTGAATCTCTTCTCGATGGTGGTGATGGTGCCGTTGAAGTATGCGTAACTAGCGGAAAATATACAGCCGAGGACACCGTAGAGAAACACGTACGCCTTCTTGTTGGCGAACTTTTGCAGGATCGGGCCCCTGAAGCACCAAATGCCGCAGGAGGTGTCATCGGTGATCGGCAGCTCCTTGAAGACGTCCTCGAGGTCTCTCGAGGTCGGCGTCGTGGGCGGCGACGGCGCCTTGGACGTTTTCGGCACCTGTAGCAACTTCAGGTTCTCCGGCCCGTTCTCCTCATGGTTCTTCGTACTCGAGTTTCTCTTCATCTTCTCGATCTGGTCGTCGTCGTCGTCGTCGTCGTCCTGGCCGCAACTGGCAAAGCACTTAGCAGCACCCAAGTCGGGCTCCGAGTCTCCGTACTCACTCGGTTGACCTCAATCACAAGTCGCACGGTGATGTGACTTTGTCGTCCTCGCGACCCTTGGCATCGCTTTTCGCGTGCCGCACAAATTCGGTTTTTCGGGCGCCTTTTTCTCGCACACGAAATATCTACTCTTCCTCTTTCGCACTCGGTCCCCGTTCACTCTATCACGATCACGTGTTCTCCATGTTTCGGACGCATCCGGGCAACACCTACGCCGTGAGATCCGGGAGTTGACTGCGGCTGTGTGGCGCGTGCGGCTCGTTAATTTATCCTACGAGGATGCTCAATGAGCAACGATGGCGATGGAAGAAGTTAAACCTTGAATCTGACCGAAGACAATACGTTATATGCAATATATTTGTACAGCAATTTTCAACCGAATGTCAGACAGTGTTATCGGATTGTAAATATTAAAACAATGTTATCGAAATCATTTTTGTGTAATCAAATCAAGAAAACTTTATCATAAAAATATAAAGATGGAAAGTTCAAATTTAATAAAGGAAACACTGCATTTTTAATTTGAATTATATTTTCATCTCGATGTAGACCAGCATATATACATATATGTGATGCTTTAAATTTTATTCTACTCACCATAAAGATGAAAAAAAATTATATAAATATGGGTCCAAAAATACTTTTATTTACAACAGATCGACGTCTGACGGATTATTTTTTCATTCACTCTCTATTAGAGAAGCAAACAATAATCTTTCGATTTATATAAACATCTTGGATTTTAATTTATAAAGACATCTTATATTTTTTGTTTGTAATTTGATATTGTGAAGTGTTTCATAAGTGTTGCTTTACGATAAAATACTGATATTAGAAATAATTAGAGATTATAAAGGTAAAATAAAGACAAACCAAATATTTCGGAACCTTTCATGAGACGTCGATGAGTCATGCATTGATATAGAAGGAAATCATTTCCAGTAGTTTCTTTAATGAAATATTCTTACCAAAATTGTTGTAAATAAAAAGTATACATATATATATATATGTGTGTATATATATGGGATATATGTAAGTATATATGTATATATATACACATATATATATATATATAGATTTATTTATTTATACATATATACAGTGTGATTCGAAAATTTTAATACATGTATATCAAAATTTTTAATCACATAATGTTAGACATGATTCGTGTGAAAAATTCACAAAGTTCACCTACTGATTTTCGAGACAGACACCAATCAAGTCCAAATAATATTCGGCGGCAAAGGTCCCTTAAAAAAAGAAAAAAAAATGTGTGGACCACCGATTACCGATCGCTTCGCGGCCGCGAGTCGATGTGATTTCTCGCGAAAAATAGATTCGCGTCCGAAAACGACCGATATTCTTCCGCAACTGAGATGCCTAAGCGCAACAGAGAGCAAGCCATGTTCTGTACCCGTTGGAAGTCCCCACTTTTCGCCCTCAAGAAACCGATCGCATAAGAAAGAGAGAGAGAGAGAGAGAGAGATCCGCGATGGTAAAAGATCTTACACATACCGCTATGCTCGTCTCACCTACATGATCCACCGTGTCGTTATCAAGCGGGTAAATTCTGTCTCTCGCAATCTATTCCCCCACCCTCTATATATATCTCTCTCTTTCTTTCTCTGGCTGGGCTTCTCTTCTTTTCCCGCCTGGACCGATCGCGATTCTTTCGTTCCTCCTTCTACGACTAGAAACTCCAACCGTTCGCTCGCCTCGTCTTTATCTGATAACCCGCACCTGCATAAATGACGAGAGTAGGGATGATATCGTAGTTGACGCAGGAAAAAAGAGCAATTAATGGGGTAAGCGTTCGGCGCCCTCTTGTCGTTGCGAAATCGGATGCATGGAATATTAGAGCAAAGTCATTGGAATGAAAGCGCCACTTTTATAATCTACCGTGACGTAAATGATTGCTACCGTAACGTGATGACAGCTTAATTTCGCGTCTGCGAAGCAAACTTTGTTCAAAGGATTACACTATCAGGTCTCGCGATATTTATACATATTTGACACTTGGTTGACGCAAAGGATGCTGAAAGATTAATATAATCGTCACTATATTTAAATGTACTTTTTCTTCGGCAACTTGATTACCTATTTTTCAACCATCATCAGTTATCATCATCATCATCATCATCATCATCATCATCATCATCATCATCATCATCATCATATCATCGAACTCAGCGTTATTTTTCTATTTTCTTCGCGACTCTCGAGCATCGGTCGATGAATTCGAATTCTTACAACGCCCGGCTCTCGTGGAAATGGGAAAAAACGCGACGTCGACGCGAAAGCACAACTTTCCAAGTGCCACCTTCGAGCGGACGCCCGGCGTCCGTTTGAAGAAACGGGGCATCCCTACTTGGGACTATTCGCGACGTACGGAGACCGCGGCGAGGTCTCGGCTTTCGGTACGGCGTTGCCTAAGCTCGTTTCTAGTCAACCTCCGGGAGCAGAGGCTCACATTGTGGACCCATTATGATTTAATAGAAGCCGACGTGATGTACCTACACACATACACGCGCGCAAACACACAGGCACTCGCGGTCTAAACTCTTCCGTCTATTCCCGCGCATTGCTAATGGCACACATCAAACAGCTATGTCGCTAATAGCTGACGGGTAATTGCTCGAGCTGAATTTTTATAAGACGAAATATGGAGATTGGTTAGGCGGGGACCTAGCGCCGTATTAGGAATTCATTAGATTCGCGATCGGGTCGGCTGCGACGATTTTTCGAGCATTTTCCAGAAGACAATCGATAGTGGACAAGTCTCAGGTGATCATCGTCTTCTTCGTTTTCTATATTCAATTGTCTCTTTCGTTTTAAGATTCTACTATCATACGATAAATTGAAAAGGAGGAAAAATCGAGACAATCATTCTTGTTATTCAAAATAATCTTAAATAAATAACTGGCTATCTTGTCTTGAAAAGGAGCAGCGATAGTGCGAAATGACGTTTGATACAAATTTTCTTATCACGATGGTGTGATCCGTATGCATAAATGACTAACCAAACTGTCTGTTGTATGCACATTTTATTTGGACCAAATACGACACGCGGGAAAAAAAGGATAAATTTCTTAAATATTTATAAATCGAAGAGAGGAGAGAAAAAGCCATAAAGATCCTTTACACGCGAAATCAACTTGTCAGTTAAATGATACCTGGTTCGGTCGTGATCTTGCATTCGTATCATGATTTGCAAGAGACGTTTTTCTGCGGTGGCATTTATTTGCTCGCAAACCCGCCGAGACAAATGAAAAATTTACATCTACGATAAGAACATCATAAATACACCGCGAAATACATCACGCGTACACAAATTTTTTCGATCTGTGCCGTTCAAACGGCATGCAAATAAAATTTTCGCAGAAATATCTGAACCTGATATCAATCTGCTGTCACATTAAAAGTTACCGCTTCACAGATTCCCCTTTCTCTCTCTATTCTAGATTCTCCTCTTGTCTTTAAATAGCTCGTAGTTTTTCGGGCGCAAATTGGATTTGTTACGAATTATAGAAGAGATATGTACATCATCTTTTTTATCTGTGTGCTTTCACGCAAAGAATATTAAAGTTCAACGATTGTAGCGATATTATAGTGAACACGCTCTCTTTATAATGATTGATTACGTTTCATGGAAGTTTCTCCGTCTCCAGAGGATGTTTTCGTTAACTTGAACTGTCAAGTATTATATACTTAAATGAGTAAAAACTCAAGCAGAGAACCTAGATTTTAGTTCTCCTTGTAGTGCATCGTAGCCGTCAGATTTACGATACCTCGACGTGCGTGACGTTGACCAGGTTTAATGTTGGCGAGACATCTTATTACCGAAGAACAATTCAAAATGCGCCATGATTTATAAACTTTGTATCTACACGATTCGAGGTAATGAGATGTTTACGCAACCTAAAACGTATATATCATTCGAAAGCTGCCACATTTTTGGTCGCGGTTTGAAATTAAACTCTTCTCTCTACGTAATTTTGAACCATAAATATTTAAATCACAGTTATTAATATATAATCATCACTTATATATACATATATTATTTCAAAATTACGTCATAAACGTTTTATAGATTAACAATTAACAACTATTAAGAATTCAAATCAAATTTTAAAGTGTAAATTGTTTTTTAAAGATAATGTATAATTAATGTCAAAAGTGGTACTGTTAAAAAATTTTTAAAAATGTTAAAAGTGGTACTGTTAAGATTTTATGTAATTAGAATATCTTTTTAAGACTGTATGAAATAGGATAAAAATTAATCAGTGTGAAACTAGATTGTGAAACAATTGTTATATCAAGATATTATCTCACGCGAGGCATGTATACAAGTGTAGATTTCGGGAACGATTAAATTCCTCTTGTTTAGAGATACAATTTTTTTATTTTTAATAATCTTTCGAATAATATATCTCTACACCGCGCACGTGCGAGACACGTGTGTTTCGCACGATACCATGAATTAATTCTGTCGTAATTTCTCTCCAGTTGCGCGATGTCCGGCCTGAATTATCTAACAAGTTAACTTGTAAAATGTACAAGGTTACTGCACTAGCACATTGACAAATTTCGTTAGGCGCTTCAAGCGGCACAACCCACTTGCGTTTGTAAATTACGCAGTATTCGTAGCAAGAATGCCGGACGAGGCTATATTAGAATCGTTATTATAACAGTAGAAATAATAGAAATAGCTAAACATTACTTTTCTCGATTATGGAACCTTCATTAGCAATTAGTTTTTCACGTTACCCGCCCAAGTTTGTGTCATTTTATCATACGGCAAAAAACATTAATTTGAAAAAAGAATATATGCTATATATAAATGATACATTTCCATGTCACGTGTAACTTAAAGAAAAAGAAGATTTCGATGTGGATCAAGAAAGCACGATCGATAATAAAAACGGAGCGATCCACGAGCTTGGAAGTGGTGGAAGGTGAGTAAACCGATTGCTTCCGGTCTCCTATATCATACATGCATCTGTCTTTCTTTATCGGGCAGGCTCGCTACTAGTGCAGATCGGACTGTACCTCGACTTAGAAGACGTTGATGAGATCTATATGAAAGATGGGTCAGGGTCATGCACAATGCAACCGTGTACACACAACAGCAAAACTTCCTAATACCAGATCGAGGCGCAAACAAGCGACAGCCTTCATTTCTCCCTCATTTTCTTATTTAAACCAATCAAAACTTATCTTTATTATATACATTTTTTTCACATCTTATTAAAATATTATTATGTTAAAAATACAATCCCAGCGATAGAACAATTTATATACGTAAATATACATTTATTTTTTCACCCTGATTTATTTCAAATAACGTTTTTTTTTTCAAGTTGTAGCACGGACTGTAAAATCGAATAAAATATTTCCGTTGTAATTAATTAATAAACAATATTTGCCAATACGGTCGAGAGAAGATTGTTACTTTTTTTTAAATTCTGTCTGGCGATTCTCAAATATCTACACTTTAATCTAATAAAATATTGTATTAAAATTTTAAATTTAGACACCAAGCCGTGTTATTATTTAATGCTATAAATCTCTCAATAAAATATAATATTTTATTTTTTACGTAACACAGAATATTTTTTCTATCATTATATTGTATATACAAAAAAAATATAGTGTTTTTATAAAATTTACTTAATACACTTTAAACTTTCAAATATCGTTATTTTTGACTCCGTTAGTTCACGAGGTACTTTTAGTTCCTATGATACACTTTCTCTTATGGCTGTTTCGACTGGACTAATTCTCGCAAATGGTCAGATTAGATCTTTAGACCTCCTCCCTCTCTCTGTGCATTGAAAAAAGGACGAGTTGTAAAAACAGATATTTTTAGTCTCTCGTCAGGTAACCGAGAGTTAGAAAAAGAACAATAAATTATAATATCACAGTCGAAAATATAAAATATAAAATGATGTATAAAATTAGATTTGCTATATCAAAAAATACAATTATTTTTTCCTCTAAAATCCTTCTATGCGTATCTTTTCACGTTAAATTATCTCAACTATGTAAAGTAAGATCGAGAATTTTTGATGAATCTTGAGAAGATCGCAGCCTCTCAGCATTATTAGCAACATAGCAACAAATCCTCATCCTTGTCGGAGCTGCTAGCCACCTCGTAGACCTCATTTTTCTTTATTTGCGACGGAATAAGGTAGAACGCTTAATCGTAATTCGCCGAAGCGCATCCTTTAATGGTGTTCCGAAGGATGCGATCGATAGCGACGACTGACGTCACGGGAACGTTGCGGAATTCATTACACGGGCCGAGAGCCGCCTGCTTTAGCTGGGTGGGCTTAAAAATTAAAAGGCTCTCAAACAAAAACTCTCTTTTTACTTCCAGCCTCGTGGGATGTAATCCCTTCGCCGGGTGGTGCCCTGCCGACCCCCTCGAATTTCGACAGTGGCTTGAAAACAAGCCCCCAAGACTTACCTTCATCTTCCATCTCGTCTCGCTCTTTCTCATTCTAAAGCGAGCACGATCGATTTACCGATGTACTTTTTCGAACAAACCCTTCCTTCTCGCGGCCGTCATTACGTTCTGCTTGCGGGAGATTTGGCGAGTGATAAAACAATGAAGGGTGAATACTTTATCGGACCAACGAATCCGTTTGGTTTTGCTTGGCCAAGTTGGATGAAAATTGCGAAAATAGAAATAATTAATGTACGCACTTTTTACATGTAGAATTATTTTACATAAAATTTTTTAATATATTTTTTCTTCGTTTTTTTGCCAAAAAAAATCTTGCTTTTTATATTGATAAATATAAAATCAGAATTAATTACTTGTGTGAAATGAAAATGACATTGATAAATCTTGATGAAACGTAAGGAATATGATGCATTAGTAAAAATATTGATAGTTTATTTACAAAGAAGTAAGAATAAACATTTTAGAATAAAGTTTCAACAATAGAGTTGCAACAACTGTGACATCTTCTAGAATCTTGAAAATGTAACAATCAAGATGCACTATGTCATTTACACTATATTATTTACACGATTAGTTGCCGCCATCTAATCATGGAATCATTGTTTTATCTACAAATCGTCGGAATGTTCACTGTCAGTCGGAATCGCAAAACCCGGAAATATGTATATTTCAGGTACCTATAGAAAAATCCACAAAATCCAGCTTAACCGCAGCAAACATTATAAATGACTATTCTCTATCCTCTGGTTCACATTTCCATTAGCTTCTTTTTTCTTATCAGCACAATCAGTCGCAACGTCTTCCTTCACAAATTCGCGTCTCTTGTCATTTTCCGCGGCGCCGTATAGATCCAAATCCTTGCCGAGATAACAAACTGCACCATCAAACAATACTCCTACCATGGAAAATCCTGCAAGGTGAGCGAAGCATTATTTATAATCAAAAGCAAATGACGAAAGACGATATTTGGACGCTTAATTAATCCGATAAGATAACATCAGACAATATACGGTTGATAACCGCCATTTTTTTATATCAATTGCGTTTTCTTTTTATCTAATCGACGGATAAATACGAATGGTCAATAAAATATGGGTCGTTCACCCACTCGCGATACTCACCGGCCGACGAGATGTTCACCAAGTATCTAAAATTCTCCCGGTGATGGAACCAACAGTTTCCCCTGGTTCCGCAGGTTTCCTCCCATATTAGACAAGTCGAATCGATGATGACTCCGTAAATAATCGGTCCCGGAATCAGAGCGAACAACGAAACGATCATTATTGTGACGCCCTGAGCGAAACTCTTGTCCTTCTTTTCAACGCCTCTATAGTTCACCAGGACATTGCCGATCTTGCCGGAGCAGGCAAGCGTTTGGATCACGCAGGTGAGCACCATGAAGAGCAGATACGGCCCGTGGCACTCGCTGATGCATGGTCCGGCTTTGACCTTGTCGAAAATCGTGGGAAACGCCTGCGAATCAAGCAGATGCATCTGCTGCTCCGGAATGAAGACTCCGCTGGAGCTGAGGTACTTGAAGTGGCCTTCGACTTTCTCCGGTTCGCCTAACGGCAGGCAACTGCAATTCCCAAACTGCTTGTCGTCCAGGATCGTTCGGCAGCCCGCGTGGCAAGCGGAGAAGAAAGTCGTCTTCGACGGTTCGTGACAAACCGGTGAATATTTCACACTCGCGCAGTTGCAATCGACGTTGCAGCTAGCGGTCAAATTCATTCTACAAATAGAGGCAGAAAATAATTACACATAAAAGTATGCGACCTTTGATTTAAAAAATCGAATTATTGAAGATATACTCACTGCATGGTTTCGAAATCTACGCCGCGAATTCCGGCGTCCGTGCATCCGAAAAACATAAAGGACACTTGTCCCGCGACGAAGCAGATGCCGACGAATACGTTCCACGCGAGGAGCGGTCTGGGACCGGGTTTAAATTTGCTAATTAGTAATCCCGACAACAAGAATCCTAATACCATACCTACTAGTGATATGGGACCTGAGAAATAATGAAGAAAATATTAATTATGGCGAGTGTTTTTAATTACGCGTATTTTTCTACAAACTTGGAGTCAATTATTACTTTCTAACGGAAACATCATAAGAGAAAATGACTTCGTATTGAAATTTTATTTATCTCGTAACAAATATGAAAAAAAAATTTTTTTTCTTGATAACGATTATTATTAAACGTTATCACGCGAGAATGTGTTTCGTAAAATAGCTAAAGTAAATTAATATGTAGATCAACGCTTATGTAGATCAACGCACCTGCTATCACAGTACCGCCAGCCGCGGACGTACCGTATTGAACTTCAAGATACTTCGCCAAAAACGTGATGTAGGCCGAAGCGCCAAGTATGTAAAATACGGCGCTTATATTATTGCAAGTTATTAGCCAGTTAGTTAATATTCGTTTCATGGCCGTTGGAAATTCACGGATGGTCGGTATGTACTCAGTCTCCAGAGGAATCGGCTTCGTAGGTTCCATCTGTATCGGTGGTTTCTGTTGCAGCATTAAATCGAGCTTCAAAGGTATTTCGCCATCCTGAAACAAAATTGTCTTCGTTAATTTGATTTGTTGTACAACTTAATTCTCGAAATTCTCTGCACATAAATTAATTATTTATATGTTCCCAGTTTATGAATTAATCCCTAATGTTTTTTTTTTAAATTACGAAAAATTAAGTTTTTTCCAAGGGTCTAGTTTTCTTCATTGCTTCAATATAGAAATTTATTTATGCAGACAAATATTTATTTTTTGTCAGTTTACGCAAAAGAATATATTTTCATGATGAATAAAAGTATTATTTATAATAGCGCAATTTAAAATTACGAGAATCTAAAATATTACTCGATCAATATTATATTTCGTAATAATATATATCAATATTATATTTAGTTAATGTGTGTCTCAATAAGAAATAGGTTTTAATAATTTACGTCACTGGTAACTGAAATATTAATTTCAATAATATTATAATCTCTAATGTATTACCTGTTTGGGGGTTTTATTCTCCGATGGGGGAAGATCACGTGGAAACATAGCGATCAAAATGGCGAACATACCCATCGTAACACCGAGAATGATCCATCCGAGCCACCATGCGCCTAACCATCGCGGATCTTTTTTTGTAATAACGGGATGGAGCTTTGGATCTATGTATAAACTCAAGCAACCATAGCCCAACAAAAATCCGATCGCCGGACCCACCGTACGTAAAGCAAAAGTAAAGCCTTACAAATAAAAAATTAAGAATCAATAATAAATAAAAAAATATTTTTCTAAATTTCCATCAGTAAAATGTAACAATTATTGTATCATAGAATTGATATGATATCAATAATGATCATTGATAGCATGAAAATGCATAAATTAAAAATATAATAATAATAAATGCTAAAGAAAACAATTTGTAAAAATTAGCTGAAATATTTCCAGATAAAACTACATGTTTAACAAAATTGTTTTAAATTCTTATGACATCACTTATTTCTTATCCATTGCGATAATAAAGTCATTACACAATGCGTTAACAAGAAATGCTTGTCTACATCTGCAGATAAAAATTTAGATCTTAAACATGATACATTTCTTTGTTAGTTAAAAGTTAAATTATCAATAACACAATAAATTTATCAACCGTTAATTATTTACCTAAGAGCATAGGCGTATTTTTCTTCTTCGTGTTGTCGTCCAGATACGTCTGTCCTAGACCGTAATAAAGAGTAGTTCCAATACCGAGAATAAATTGGGAGAAAAAAACCAGCAGTCGCGGAAGAAGACTAACGCTTAACATAGTTTCGGCGTCGCATTGTTCCGGTTGATCCGTGTTTGAGCAAATCGTGAGATCTTTCGGCACAGTCGAATTCAACAGAGTCTGATCCAGATACTCCTTCGTCAACGCTAAGGCGTCCTTCCCGGGACCGTATATGAAGTGCGGTAGGGCCAACACGAGGCAGGACAATGCACTCAAGCCGACTCCAACCGCGATCCATCTCGGCCGATGACTAGATCCTCCGTAGTAGGTCAAGATCAGAGACAAGATCTGCGAGATCTCGTTACCCGAAAGAATTAGCCCTAAATTGAAGATAATTTTATATTATTATATCTGTACGAAGAAGTGTGAGATTTTAGAAATTTCTTTAACAATTATTTTTCTTTCTGTTCTATCACGGTTTTTTCACGGTTGTCGAAATGGAAACTTGATATAATTATAAAGAACATATATGTTTAATGAAATTGAATGTGTATAATATTTAAAAAATCATTAAAATATGTTAATCCTATACGAGATATTATATAATACAGAGAATGTTTCTTTGATGTAAAATAATAAAATTTCCATTAACTTTCTATGTACGCAAATTTAAAATGTTTTGTAACATTGCGTAAAATTTGATATAATAGCATGACAGACATTTAACTTGATCGTTTCTAGATAAAATTATTTTTTGCCTCGTTAAAAAGTGCAGCATTGCGGCGTTGATACAATTGCAATTTACCCTCATCTATTTGATGTGAGATTCAATGGACATAATTGATATACAGAATTTATGAATGTAAACTATCAAATTATGTCATTTGCAACTTAAATGCAAATCAACAAAAATATTTAGTTTTCATTAAACATGTAAAGCATAATAAGTGAACATCATTAAGGCATCTAATTAAATTTGCTAAATTTAATTTATTGAAAATAAAAATATCATCAATATTCATCATTTAATAAAAATCGAAAATGTTATCAGAGATAAAAAATGATGTTTAATATTGCTAATTTTAATGACTTGCTCGTTTCTGTTCATCACATATAATATGGTAAACAAAGGATTACCTTATCAACTCACTGCAATACATAAATGTCAGTCATTTTTCAATCTTTCAATTTTAATTCCTTTAAATTCTTTAAAAGAGTATTAATAACTTTTGTATACGAATGCATGAGTGCATTTGTCATATTGTATTACATGTGTAAAACAATTATCTGTATTATTGTAAAAGGCAAACAAATTTCTTACTTTATATTATTTGATTTAATAAATAATTCTTGATAATAAATCTTGATTTATGTCTCTTTCTCTCGGAGAATTATAAAGATGTTTTTCTACAAACGCGTGTTCCGAATTCGTATGTATAATACGCGTCTTTGCTGGTCAGTGCGTGTACAGCGCTCGTTCTATGACAGATTTGTCACTTCTATGATTGCGACACACTACTTACCTACTAGATGAACGCACACGGAAACGTGATTCGCGCGTGTGTGCGAATACAAGTAGGTATAGCCCGCGAATGCCCGCGACTACTCGGCTTCGCCGGCAATGGAATCCGAGGCTGAAGGCGATTATAAGACGAGAGATGACGTTCAAAGTTTCGCTGTGTCGAGATAAAACGCGATCCTACGAGCATAATTGAGTTTATTCGCATCCAATTCTTTCTTTAAGAGGTTGTCTAAGCACGACCGCTTGGCATCAATTAATCCCCGATTAAAGTTCGAATAGCGTAACCCGTGAATGTATATCTTCATAAGCTGTCAAGTGGAGCACAGTCGCGCACAATCAGTGTAATGAGGTTTCACTATACATATGTTGATTATGCGGGAACGAGGAGACTCACCAGTCGTACGGCTAGGTATCTTGAATCTCTTTTCCAGAGTCGTCAAGGTGACGACGATGTAAATGAAGGCCATCGCCTGGACGGTGCCTAGCAAACCGTAGACCGCGATGAAGTTTCTTGGGGTCGCCCGATTTCGCAGCCATTTGGGATAAATCCCGCATATTCCGCAGTCTTTACTCATACCTCCGATAGCCTTAAAAAGATTGATTATCGGAATTTTTTTTTTGAAATTAATTAATTGACATTTATCTCTCTATATATATATTGAAGAGAGATAACGTAGAAAGTACGTTCTATTTTCTATTAGCTAACTATTTTTATCAAGTGTGAATACAATAAATATGCTTTAGTCTATTTATATTTATCTCTAGTTTTTTATATAAATATCTATGTATATCATATATCGTGTTAGTTAAATATCACATTACAATATTTATTTTCAATCGATTCTTCCCATATTAGCCAATATATCGTGTGAATCAACAGCAGCTTCGACAACGGAGTTCTGAAAAATTAAATGTATAGTGATAAAAATATTCTGAGATACTATTAATTAATTCAATGCGTTATATACGTGAGAGTATATAAGTGAGAGGGAGAGAATGCGCAACGTTATAACGATAAGCGGAAGTCGATGATGACTTGCATCGTTGATCACTACTTGCTAGAAAAGTATCGGAGTAGTGTGTAAAAAAAAAGTTGCAAGTTGAAAGCAATCGCGTTCGCGATTTGTTTTCGAATCGTTCGTGGTCGATGACTGCATTTACTCGCATGCATTCAGTTTCTAGCGTGCATGTGCATACAATTTTGCTATACGTGCATTTTCCCGAAAGTTTTAAAAACACGGAACACGTGCGCACAATAATATAATGTGTCGCGATAAGGCTTGTTATCGTTCATATATAAGTCGTAATTATTAATACGTTAATATAAGGATGTGATAAATTTCATTATTCTACAGATATATCAGGTAATACAGTAGCGACGACAGTAGCAATGACGTCTTTGTGTATAACGTTATATAACTCATTTTCTTTGAATCAGGAGACACCGACCTAATCTCGCTGATGTTTACAATGTGTGCATCCGCAAACAGAATGCAGACGATAAATCATGAAACATAGTAAAATAGAAAAATTGTTTATTTATTGTATCTTTTAATTCACAATTTAATTTATTCAATCTTTTAATTACGATTTTGTATATTAACGCTACCGAATTTATATTATTAATTGTTAAGATCACAAATATCCTTTTTATTCTGTACAATTATATAATGTTTACCTCTATCGATTATTTGCACTACTATGGGTCTATAAAAATAGTTGCAATTAATCTGTTTTAATATCAATTAATATCTATATACGTAATAATAAATAAAAAATAATAATTAATATATATATATATACATTACATTTATTTTCTGACTTATGTGGAAAGATTAAAAAATTAAAATTAAGAATTTTTTTATAAAAAATATTTGTTATAATGCATAAATTGAATGATATATATATATAGCAAGTAATTTAATTAACATATCCAATTAAACTTATCAAACAAATAAAGAAATCGAACAAATCTTGTACGTAGTTTTCTCAATCAAAGTAAAGTACTTTATATTATTATTTTCTTAATATATAATATTGAATAATAGATAATATTGATATTAATAGATAACATTGATATCACATCAAACATTTCCACTTTCTTTTAAAGAATAATCATAAAATTAATTTATTCAATATTTTTATACAGTTAAAAATTTTTTTAAATATAGAATATTACGGATGTTATAATATTTATAGAATATATATTCTTAATACTTGATCACACATTTTAGAAACATTTTTAAAAATACACTATTATGTATACATAGAATAATGAATTAAAGATAACAATGTACCACATATTATTATATAATAAAGAACTGCATACTTTGTGAGTACAATTATTCAAAATTTCTTCCGTTTCACATGTCAGAATGGAAACACTAATCACTTTTCACAATTATCTTCATTCTTTATATATCTGATGCATACTTACGTAATTGTTATCTCAAGTACGAATCTCATAGAATCATACACGTATGATAATCTAAAATTTTAGCCAATTATTACTTCCGTTCTACAAAGATTCTTTGTAGAAAGTCTGGTTTTACAATTATACAGTTATACAATTGTACAATTATGCGAAATTCTATGATTATTTTACTTAAGTAAAATAATTGTTTAAAAATATTACACAGAAAAACGTTTTTATTGTAACACTTCTCTTGTTTTAATTTTCTTTTTAAGTATAATTATAAATGTAATTATATACTTGAAAATTACGATCGTGAGTTAATATTATTCATTGTTAGTCATATAATAATAGCTATAGAAATAAATAATTACAATTTTATTTATATAGAATACAATAATTTATTTATGTATAAAATAACAGTTAATATTTTAATATCAAACATGCAATATAAAATTATTGAAATTCTGATAAAATTATTGAATACCGACATATTTGAGATATGCATTATCTTAATTATTTTTGCGAATATGTATTATCATTGCTTTTGCTGGATGAGTGATCGTTGTTCTTATTTCAAATTTAAAAAGTAAATAGTTATTAATGTCATCCCTTATTTTCGAAAACAAAGATACAGCAAGATTGAAATTGACATTCTAAAAGGCATATTTGAAAAATGCTTCTGCTTTGCGTTTCGTATGGAACGTCTTAAGGAAATATTTACACGATATGCAAAAATACCTGTTTAAAGTTAAAAATAAAAGAAGCGCATCAAGGATACACTCTTACCTTGACCTTGGACTCGTGGACACAGGAGGGACTTCCGGGCCGCGATTTCCACTGGATCGCGATCCTCGAGTCGCCGAGACGGCTCCTGTCTACCGGGTAGTTCGGAAATCACCACCACGCGCCGCGGCCGTTCTACTTTGCACGGATAAACGCCGGATAACTGAGCCTATTCGCTGTATGTCAATGGCAATGCTCCCCTACTATTTCTCTATCAAAACGAATGATAAGCGGAACGTCATTCAAAGGACACCGCCAATCGGACACCAGTGCTGACATCTTATTATTTGTATCCCAAGTGACCTACGCGTCTGCAACCGTAAGGTAGTGAGTGCATTTTCAACGGTTGGAATCTGTGCTAAGTGAAGTGCATCATGCAGCTGATGAAACTGTCTGTTTTTTTGATGGAACGGCGCTCTTAATAAAAATTTGAAAATTACGGAGAAAATTACGTTGCTATATGTAAAAAAGAGTACTAGTGTTCTAATTTAAATATTCATGTTGTATTATATAAATAAAATAGAAGCCTCCCTGCAAAACTTGCTGATGACAACGTCTCCTATCATCAGATTATTGTATAGCGTTTTAAAAATTATGTGTTTCCTGTATTTTATTAAATAATTTATATATAATTATTTACAAACTTTTTATATGTAATACTTTATTAATAATTCAGCTTCTGTACACTATACATTTGTGTCAATTCAATTTAAATGTATATCTAGAAAAAATGAAAATATATCAATAAAATCTGTTATTGTAAAAATGTGGTTATTAAGTAAAAATCTAAAAATATTTTGTGATAAAGTTTACTGAATTAATCTATGTAATTTATTATGCAATTTTCAAAGATTTAAATAAATTCTAAAAAAAATAAGAATTTTAAATCAAATTTATTTATACTTATGCATCTAAGAACTACATATATCTACTGCGTATAGACTTCATTAATATAACACTTTTTCTATTTCTATAATTTCATAGATCTTTTTTCTTTAGTATAATTTATTTTTTGAAAATTATTATATTGCATAATCATCGCATTTTGTTAATTGTACGCTAAAATTTAACAGCATTACATGCACAAAGGATCTCGAAATTATAATATTTATAGCATATTTAAAAAAAAATTAATGAAAATTCTAATTAGAGAAATATTTGCGATCGCAATAATAATCTTCGAGTAACTGCAACTAACGTCGATACTATCATACATTAAGACTTTTGATGTTAATTAATTTTCAGAATACGGTGTTAAAGAGTAAATCGTACAACGGTTGCTGGATAGAGAAGTGCCAAATCATCGTGTCGTGTCATTGGTAGCAGAAGGATGGGAGCAGCTTAGTTATTTTTGCATAGTTGTTACGGTCCCGCGATGAGGGTGGCTCTCCCTTTTGCTTGTTTTTGCGAATCGTCGCGACGTTCTTTCGCGTCCGATCTCTCGCACACATATACACAAGGCCATTAGATTTATCTTTAGCTACCAAAAACGACGTTGCGAAGTTGCGAAGTCTCATCTTCTGTCGGACGACGAAGCAAGTGTAGAACAACTTGCAAACGTATACAGATACCGTTATTTAATATTATTTATAAATAACACATATTAATATATATTGTAATTATTATCAAATGTAAAAAATCGCAAATAACTAAGTTTACGTTAAAAAATAAAAAAAATCGAAAGAAACTTGAATGATAAAGATTATTTATATTCGCAATTCTTATATTCTATCCTGTTGTATCGAATTAATACGTGGAGGGATATGTGTATAATTGACTGGCAAGAATATGCGACTTTCTCTTAATGATAATATATTTGTTTTCGGTTCTCGGTGAATCTATTAATAGAGCGGTAATATTTTAATATTATTGAGGATATAACAGGCAATATATATATTACAACCTATATATAATTAAGCCTATATACAATTAATCCTAGGAGTATAGGATATTCAAAAAGATGATCGTACCTGATAAAAAGTACGTATCCTTGCGCGTCTTCATCCAGACTCTCTTTATTACTATCCTCTCTTCATTCGCAACGGAAGCTTCAGTGTGTTTTATAACAAATTCCTCAATCACGTTACGTGTACATTCTGTTTCTTCGTTAAGTACATGAACAATAATATTATATAATTAATAGCGATAATAATAATAATAATAATAAAACGTGATAATGTCAATAATAATGTATAATAATAATAATAATAATTAATATAATAATAATAATAATAATAATAATAATAATAATAATAATAATAATAATAATAATAATAATAATAAATAATAATAATAATAGAATAATAATAAAAGAATAATAATAATAATTTATTTTCCTATTATGTTATATAATAATACTTAAACTAATCCGTCCCTAACGTCTTCTCAACCTAACTTTTTACAAAGAATTTCGCTTTTGGTTTCCACCCTGCGCATTAACTTCTACTTACAAATCTAACAAACCGAGTTAACCTCATTTAAGGTTTGAAAGGGTTTGGGACTAGACAACCACTTTCCTCAACCCGATCCTAGTTGCTTATGTTTTGATATTCCTTTAGCTCCTCACCCTTTCGTTGAGCCTCACGTCTGTACGAGTTAGCGCGTCGAGCGTTGCACTAACAAATCGCTGACTAGTTTCTAATCATTACGGCTACTCGACTGTGCTAATTAAGGCACTGGATCACTAAGAGTAGACGAACGTACAAGTTTAAGAAAAGTCGATCAGGTGTCAAGGAATTACATATCGCAGTTCAATACGGTATAATAAGAGGCAATGCAATACTTAAAACGTAGCGACGCCTTAATCGAAATAATTCATTGTTAAAACAGTTTTAATTTTTGTGTCGAAAAGAGGTAAGAAGCGTTAAGGTTCTCTCAATTAAAAACGATTTGTAAATCAAATCGACTCATTCCCTCCTCGGCATATTCGCGCTGCCATAAAGTTGGTCGATGTTTTACATTTTGTCTAAGTAATACATTTAGTTGATTAATTAACATAACAAGGCCTCGAAATAAGACACTTTATCATTTCGCTCTATTGTGCGAATTTAAGGCCACTGCGGCTTAAATTAGACGTCTTCGATAATCATGTATGTCTCGACCTTCTCTTTTTAAATCACATTTGTGTGATCCTATCCTCCTGATAAATCAGTTAACGTCCCAACTAGTAATATGTATAATATTTTATAGCTTGTAATAAATATTCACGTATTTATATGTATAATATACGTAAAAACATAGTCTGCTAAACAACAGAGAGCCGAAATAAGCAGTGCGCAATAAGAAATAATATATTGGTAAACAAGTACTTTGGAAGATACGTATACCTTGTTACTATGACGCATTCTCTCTATGTATAGATATATTTACGGACGGTATTCATAATCGCATATTTCTTATAGAGAACGAAAAATCAGTTAATAAGAATAAAATTATAAGAAAAAGTAAGTACAATAATTATATAATCAGCATATGTGTATATGTCCACATATATACATATATACAGATGCATGTATCAATGAGAAATTTTTATTCAATAAGAAAATTTAAAAAATCGTTGCAAACAAAATTCTTCAACAGATTGCGAGTTCTACATATAATAAGCCTCGAAGTAAAAATTCATTTGTTTCGACCTGAAGAAAAGAATTAAAAAAAAAGAATATTAGTTGCAATTTCGAGATAGATATGAAAATTGGTAGGATAAAAAGCATAGTAAACATAAACAACTGAATTGTGCTAATGTAGAAAGAATAAATGTTCGGATAGACATCTCAAAGAATTTTCAATAGAACGAGATAAAAAAAAAAAAAAATTAAACGTTGTCATCAAGAACAATGGTAACAATATTAAAGAAATCGGATCGTAAGTCTCGTTTCTCAAGTCAGGATTTATGATATAATTTCTATCTGTATTATCTCCAGTTGCCAAATTAAAAAAAATGGTGAGTCAAACGATTATGAATACCGTCCGTTACAAAATAAACGCAATCATAATTTCTTTCTTCTTTATAAAAAAAAAAAAAAAAAAATTGCCTGAAAATATAATCTAACAACTTATCATACTAGAAATCTTGTTTACCGCATTAAATCTATCGAAAATTTATCTAAAATTTAAAACACGTTGCTTTTTCTCTGTGCATCTCTAAGCCTGAATGTAAATGGTTCCGAAATTATATTACGGAGCTCTCGCATTAATTTTTATCGATATTTCTAGTTTAGCGCATTCGTCTAACTTTGTCGAAGACAGATCGTGTCGCAACTATGAGAGAACAGATTCACGTGTACATATATATCGTTTGACTGATACTATTAAGATTGACTGTCGAAGAAGTCGTGATCGTGAATTTAGGAACCACGACGAAAATAGGTATAGGTACAAGGAACTAACATGATTTATAATTGGACATGATTATAATGAGATTGTTAAAACAATTAAATTTTAAAAATCATATTACGCGGTGACATTTTAATACACCGCTTCATCTCTCTTATTATAATATTTTGAAATAGAAATCTTACAGAATAGCATTGTGCCCAATAACCTACAGGGCGTTTTCGCGCATGTAACTCCTATTAATGGAGGTGATAGCGCAATCAACCCCCTTTTCGGCTCTCAAATTCCGATTTAATCGAAGATCACTTTCTCGAACGAGTTTAGGTATTCGAGTGCATTATAAATAATCGTAATCATAGTTCTCTAAAAAAATCATGGAGATTTCTTTCTAAAATTTCGCGTAATAATTGATATCGGCAGAGCAGGCCGATGTATTCGGCTTCACGAGAAAAATTGGAGAGGAAAATTAAAGGTCAGGGAAGCGAAAAAGGAAGAGTACAGATTATACAGACTTTAGCGAGAGAAGTCGTCGGGGATCGCCTGATCTCGAGGCAGCTGCCGCTTCGTCAGATCTCATCCTCTTTCTCGCATTTCGATTGGTTTAATTGTGCGAGACACGACCGACCGGGAACATAAAAATCTCACGGAAAAATGGGTGAAACGAGGAAGCTGGCGAGCCGATTCCCCAAAGACAACGAGATCGAGCATATGTTTTACGCGGCTTCATCCCTCTTTCTCTCGCTTCATCTCTGTCACGTAAAAAGGCTCGGCTACAATTGTTTCGTGGTGGTCTAACGTCGAAAAGCGCTTTATTGCAATCTGGCCTCCTGAGGTGTCGTCTGATACGGCAGGCCTGGGAAAGCTGCACCAGCTGCTGTCGCCGCAGCCGCTGCCGCTGCTGGCAGACCCGCGGCACCTGGTAAAGTAGCGTAGGTGTACGGCGCCACGTAACCCGCCGCCGCTGCATTAGCTGAAAAAAGAGACGATTTTTTTTCTCTCACAAATAATATGTATACTTATAATATTTCATTATATAATACTTAGAATAACATTTTTATCTGAAAAAATTGTCAAAGAATTTTTAGAGCTTAAACAAGTGCAAATTAAAACTACAATGGATATATATATATATATATATATATATATATATATATATATATATGTATATATATACATATATACATATATGTATATACATGTAAGATGTTTCAAAATTTTTTTTAATGATAGATTCATTTGTTGATATTTAGACAATTTTTCCTTAGAGTCTCCCTAAGAGTCTCAAATTAAAATTTTGTTAAACTTTATCTAAAATGAATTGAAGAATATAATTTTATTTACGGTTCCTCTTCAAAGTAAAATTAGCTCTTCTCTTTCAATCGCTTAAAATTTGAAAATTATTGATGACAATTGAGCAAAGAATCATTAAAAGAACATTTTGGAACATCCTCTGCATAAAGTAAGATAAATAATGAATAACAAAAGAAGCGTATGCAAGCGATTTGTGCGCATTGTAAACCTTCTTATCTTGTGCCTTAGCTTTTTTGGAGTGCTGTTTATTCGTATTACGAAAAGCGAATGGCGCTCGTTGACCACCATCACTCATCGCGAGAACACCGCCACCATCACCACAGACAGCGCAGACAAAATGACAATATATGTATATATAATGCGTCAATGTCTAGTTCATGAAGCGCATGCAAAACTTTGTCCTATGTTCATCGTTCATCCACTATCGAACAATAAAGCGCGCGAACGTACAATACTACAACGTAACATACGATAATGTATGCAGTTATTGAAGCAAAAAATATAAATAAAAAAAATAAGAGAATATTAAAAAAAAAGTTATATTAATAAGAAGTGAGATATGTCTCGCAGAAGGCTGAGAATTTTGTCTTACGAGAAAATTATTGATATTGATATGCGAGAGAAATTGCAAACGAATCGAAGTTGAGAGAAAGCGAGATGTGTATATCAACGCCGAGAAGAGAGAGACATGTAACAGGGTTCCCACGAAGGATCCGTCAGGAAATGCCCAAGGCTCTCGGACAGGATAAACGACGCTTCATTGCATTCCCGCCTTAAAGTGCCGACACACATATATATGTATATCCGACGTCGGAATTATTATTCCCCCTAACCGCGCGTATAATCCGACGATGTCTAACGGAGAAGCAGTACGTCGGAAGTTGCACGTTTCAATCCCCCTTCGTATTATCCACACGTACACCTTCCTCTTTTCGCCCCATGAGAAACACGAAAAAACCAGATCCTGTGAGAACCCCGCGAAATATTTATATTAAGCACTACAAGACATCCCCTTTCCCACCCTTCTTTCTCTCATCCCTCTCTCTCTTTCTCTCTCTCTCTCTCTCTCTCTTCTTCCCCTATCTCTGGAGATTTTCTACCGTAATCACGCAGCACGGACGGCAGAAATTGCGGTAAGAGAGCTTTCTCCAGCCGTTGCTGATGCGCCAACGTCGCGGGACCGTTTTGCTGCTGCTGTTGCTGCTGTTGGTGGTGTTGGTGGTGGTGGTGTAACGGGTAGTTGCTACCCTTACTCTGGACACTATTCAAACACGTACCAGCCGCGGCCGCGGTCGTGTACGGATATGCCTCGGCGAAGTTGTACGAGGTGCCCGGGTAGGTAGCTGCGGCCGCCGCCGCGTTCTGGTACTCGTAGAACTGCGACGCCGCGGCGACGGCGGCTGCGTGGCTCAACTGCGTCGCCGGAAGCGGTACCAGACCACCTGGCGCCGCGGCCGCCAGGTAGGGCGACTGGTACACGTAACCTGGTGGTACCCTGCAAAACGAGAACGGTCGTTGATTACGGATGCTGATGAGACACGAGGACGTGGAGGCCAATTGCGGCGGATGTGTTTGTGAATTTATTGCGACGATGACGGCGAGATATTTTCTTATTCTTTGAAATTATTTCATTGCGCGATGAATAAATAACTCGAAGTTATGAGGAGATGAAAATATTTATACATGTATTGTTGGATCGATCGAGCGATGATAATAATTCGTTCGTTTTGGTTATTTTAAATCCTGTGTATGAGATATTTAGCTGAGAAATAATTAGAATTAGTTTTGGAATATTTAGATAATTCATGTTTCAGATATATGTATGTGTATATATCTTCGCTAAAGACTTTAAATAATCAAGTAAAATAATTATTGCATGATTACTATCGATCTGCATTTGAAATGAGTTCATTACATTAAGTGCTCTATTCTCAATAAAATTTTGCACAAATGTGTTTTAATATGTTCATAACTTGATCTGTGTAAATAACCGTATTCTTCCCGCACGTCAAATATGAAAACACCATTAGCTGTAAATATCTTATCAACTTTTTTTGCCATAATATTGATACGTAGATAAATTAAACGCCGTCCAATTCGCGAAGCAATAATTTACAAACAAATACACCTAGTTTTAAACCGACCGAGAGCCATCAGATAATGTTCGATGTCGCGAACTTTGGAAGAAGGCGCAGCGAAATAAACCTGATGGATCTCTCGTTCGGTTCAATATACTTCTCTCATTTTACGGAACATAATGGAATCGGGAAGGAAGAATGATGATAGTAGTAATGTTACATGATTGCGTGTACATGTATGCGTGCAAATTTCCTTCGTGTAATTGTGTATGTATATATATAATTAATTAAGAGTTCGCGAGTTGTCGATTATGATGATTTTTAGTTCATTTTCGAGATAAATATTTAAAAATTCGTAGATAAATATAATGATCATTAATTAAGTGTCCTGATCGCGGAGAGACGAGCTCGTAATCGCGTGCATGCACCATTATACATCTTACATCGTCGATTTCTCGGCTCGCGGAGTATGCCAGAAATCTGTCGGAAACGCGTGACGAAAAACAAACTTTCTTCAATGCGTGTCGCGTTACAAGAAAATTCCCGGCTCGACGGTCTTTCGCTCTCGAACAGCTCTCTACCAACACCAAAAGCACGCAACACCAAACGGCAGAGTTGAGCGAGGGACCGAGTTCACTTCAATCGATCTTCGCGCATACGTAACATACGGACGATCATATACCGAAAGATGCGCGTCTCTATGTGTCTCGATATGTATCGGTCGCTGCCAGGGAGAATAAGTATACAAAATGTGTTTATATTTCGAGTTCCGAAATAGCGTATCTTTTAAAGTCTTAATCCGATCGTATTTTCAAAAAAAAAAGATACACATTTTCTTTATATAATATTGATAGAATTTTGTGTATATAATATATTTGATATTTGTATATCATATATAATATATATTTCAAAAGATGCGCGATCTCGACACTTTTGTGGTGAATCATTCAGTATATCAGGTGTATCGCGCTTTCTCTGTAAGCTTTAACTGTAAATTTTTGCTAATTTTTCCGTAATGCGATTTTGATAAGAGGCAGCTTTCTAATTTCTAAAAGCGAGATTAAAGTTTGCGTACTTAAGTCGGGAATTAAAATTTCGTTGCACGCAGAGGTTTCACTTAAAATTAATTAAAGATCCGATTTTTCATTATTTTGTGCGAACATTAATAGTTTCAAAGCATCATTTGTCAAAATCAATTTTTGACAAAATTCTTTATAATTAGGCCTTTCATCAAATTCTCATTAGAAAAAATCAATTTTGTATTCATTGACGGATTTATCCATCGCGAGAAACATGCTTATAATGCACTGTAAATGTGTGTACAAATATGCATTCTGATTATATCATGTATCACGATGATTACAGACAGGTAATTAAAACCGGTAATAAAAAAGATTGCAATTACATCGCGTTTCTAATGTACCTCTTTCATTTTTCTTTTCATCAAACACACCAAAATATGTTCAAAAATTTAAGAAGTATAGAGAATACTCTTTACAAAAGTATATTAAACAAAAATATCACTTCAATAAGTTTTACTGCAGAGACTACTTTACTTCGGAGAATAAAAAGTGTTACGAATTTCACCACATAAAATAAAAAAAATTATTTTTCTTCTAGTATCGATATGCACATTGTATGTGAGTGTATGTATGTGTATGCAAATGTTTTATCGAATGTTTCGTCGGAAAGGGATGGAAAGATGGGAGAAGAGGTAAAAGGGAACAGTAAGTTGGTGTAAAAACGGTAAACGTTGCTCTCACTGTGGTATCAATAATAAGGCGAAAAACGTACGCAACAATCCAAGAAAAAAAAAGAAATCTTTCACGTGTTGGCAAAACAACAACAAACCAACGACAAACGTGTATGTAGGTGACTGCACGAAATATAAATACTTCTCGGCACACGGCACACGATTATCTAACACCAACGTTAGTACCTAAAATTCACAGATCTAAAGAAACGTCTCGAGTTCGCTCTCTCCGACTTTTATCAATCTTCGAATATATCGCAGAATAGCTTAAAGTAAGGAACATATATTTTTAAATATTGTACTTCATTGCAGATTTAGGGGATAAACTCGAGATACAAAATTTAAGATATAAATTCGATAAAATAATTTGTATCAATTATCGCTTAAATTAGAAAATATATGAATAGATAAAGAATTAAACATTTATAGTCCTAATATTTTATAAAAATGTAATAAAAAATGAATAAAGTAAAAATTGTAAAGTTTAAAATTTAAAAAAATTTACGCACACCATGTTCGATAACCTTGTTCATTATACGACGAAGGCAAGCATTGTTGACTGCATGCATTCATGCATATGTGCATCATTCGCGTCTTACATAATAATTGCTTTAATCAATCGATAATATTGGATACGTCGATATTACGTCAAGAAGTTGTCGTATTCTCTAAATCTGCTACAAAGCGCGGGGAATACAGAATATTTATGATCGTTTATTTTAAACTACTCCAAAATATATCAAAGTTTCAGAAAAATCAACGCGAGACGTCTCCAAACGCATCCTTGCAAGAAAGGAAGAAAAAATAAGATAGTACATTTCTCTCACGGCAGTGCCTCTGTCTCTCTTACACTTTCTCTTTTATTCTCTCTTTGCCTTTTTTTATTTCTTCTTAAATAATAACACGCGGAAGATCCCGACCTGGCGAGCGTTCTTCGATCACCCGCAAAATTTGTTCACCGATTCGCAATTGTGTCTTATCGATCGACGTGTACTCTGCGAATACATAAAAATACAAGTAAATTCGTTGTTCAAATTTATCGTTAATATTAATTGACAATCTTTGTCGTAAAATGTTTAATTTCGAAGTTAAAAAAAATTAATTTAATCAAGTATAACCTAAACGAATTTTTGCACAAAAATCAAATGTGTTTCACATGGAAAATATAAAAAATTAAAATATTTATATTTTATAGAATATATATAAACCAGTTTTTATATAAAAATAATAAGAACGCTGTCTTTGAAGAATATTGGCAAACAGATTCACCAAGTTTGAAAATCATATCCACACGCTCCGTCTCGATCTCGTAATTTGTCCCGATACAGTCTAATTTAATGGTATCTGTAAATTAAGCAAGCCTACTCTCGATACGCGATTCAATGAGCCCGCTACCTATGGTACGCATAGCGTGCGTAATAAATTATGAATTGAGAGCTCACGGATATTCAATTGACCGATTAAACACGGAAATACGAGTGATTCCGAAGCATTTCGAGAGACGCCGAAGGAGCCCGGTCTCTTTTCCCGGAGACAGCCCTGAACTTTTTAGCGGATCGATAATAGCCAGTGTCCAGTCTACGAAGGAAATCAATATGTCGTCCTGCGGCTTCGAACGACACAGGAGGGCCTCCTCCGTTACATCGGATTGGCGCCCGCTGACCATTATCGCAAACAATCGCTGACAATCGAGAAGCGCTTCGACACACGTGTCACACGTCGCGCGTTAATCCGAACGAGTCCCTCGTGCTGTAACGGGGAAGGGAAGCAATGGGACATAGTAATCGACGACCTTGAATTGGAGCTGTCATCCAGGATGGATGAGCGCGCGATCGATGAACATTACATATGACGCAGGAAGGGCGAAATTGATAAAGGTAGAAAAGAGCGACATTGTTGTATGTCCATGTCGCGCTATAACGCGACGTCGCATTGCGGATGGACGTTTCATCAGCTTTTGCATGAGGGAAGACGCGAGTCCGTCCGAAAGCATATTATAATAAAAATGACTGATCTTCTAGATATGAATTTGTTGTTATCGAGACAGAAAATATAATATTAATTCTAATTTTTTCTCTTATACAACTACTTTTTATTTGAGATTTTTAAGGAAAACCCTGACTTGATGGAGATGCGATGGTTTGCGAAAGGAAGATAAAATCAGCAACCTTGGCGCGGCGAAGTGCAAAAGAATCGAGAAGCGTAAAGAGAAAAAATTTATGCAACGACGTTCTATGCGTGACTTTATATTTTTCCTGTCGCAAATTATTTTGGCTCGCTCGGTGCACATTTATATTTTTCGCGAATTATTCTTGCAACGTCATCCAAATGTCTTCGATGTCATTTCTTAACCGAGAGAACAAAGAGATTTGTAGGGGAGAATAAAAATAAAATGAACAGAAGTGCGTCATGTGTGATAAAAAAAAACGCTACATGTTGCACGACAATCGATCTATCCGTACAAACAAACGCGCGAAAATTAATAGGAGCGTTGTCAATTTTATTGACATCGAAGACTGTCAGCCACCTGCTGGAGTTTTCAGTTGCCGGAGGCGCACAAACAAAGATTATTTGATGAACGAGCGTTGTAAAAATATCTCACTTGTGTTCCCATTCATTTCAGATTTTTCATTAATCTTAAACTGAATTTTTATTAATTTTGGG